ATAAGCATTCTTACTTGATACCTTATCAGTTTCAATAAAACTGTTAAATATATCGAACCAATGATTAACTATATTAATAAATTTTGCCAAATTATCCATAAGTTCTTGAGATGACCCCGGCTTATAGTGCTTCAAAGCAATGGCGGTTGTGTGTGATAACAACTCACAAGCCATTTTAACATTTTGGCGCTTTGCTTTGACACACTCAACATGTCTGGATGACAATTTAAAACAAACATTTAACTCTTGGTCTGTTAATCTAACATCCAATTCCGTATTAATTTTAATAAGTGGGGTACACCCGCAAGCATATAAATTTTTTCATTTGTTATAGGGCGTTAGAAATTGGTGTTATCTGTTGTGATCTCCAGTGATCTCCAGTTTTTTCCACAAACCCATATTACTTGCTCCACAATCACTTGTACAAGCAACAACTTCATAACTTAAATTGTGCATTGCAGTTATTATGTCAAATGGGATCTCTTTAGTCATTTTTTGATCTAATCCTATGTATATTAGCTAGAAAAACAGTCAAAAATAGAAAAGTCTTACGGTTATTGTGGAAACTTCGAAAACTTGCTCCAATCAAAAATAAAAGTCGAAACACTTTTAACTTTACAATACTGTACAATGAATACATTGAAAATACACACATGAAAAATACATTGAAAATAACTAAAAGAAAAATAAAATTGAACATGAAATTAAAATAAGAAAAATCGGAACGGTTGATTAATAAATAAATTATATAATCTTTGAACAGAGGGCTAATTCAAAAATATAATTAATCTCTTCTATCGTATTTGTTTGTGTTAAGGGGTAGCTAATCACTCTGTTAATTAGATATCTAAAGTTAGCTAGTTTTTGGGACTGGAGTGTTCTGATTTATATGAGATAGTGGTGGCTATAGTTGAAGGTTTGCTAAAAATATTATATTCAATAAACTGTCGTTGGTTCTTATTAAACTCAAATCCAAAAATTAAGTTTTCCTTTCTCTTCTATATTTAAGACTATTATGTAATTTATTAACGTAATTATGACAATTTTTTAAAGATTTCTCATCACCCCTCCATATACAAAAAACATCAACATATCTAACCCAACAACCAATGTTGCTGGCGTAAGGATTAACTTCATTTATAATGTAATTCTGTTCGATGTAATCTAAGAATATATCTGCCAGCCAGCCAGACAATGGCATTCCCACAGGTAAACCCACAGAAACCAAATAAAATTCTCCTTCAAAAATGCAGTAATTTTGTTTTACTATATGCTTCCAAATGTCATTCAAATCCTTTACATTGTTTTTATTGTCGAAATGTGAATCGAACATTTTAGAAATTATTCCAAGGGTATAGTCAACTGGAACACTCGGGTTGTTACATTTTGATGTAAAGGCTGAAAGGATGATTTCAATTTTCTATGGATGAGAGGGTATGAAATTAATCCATTTAAATATATCTTTCATAAACTTTACAAGACCCTGAACCGGTGAATTTCTAAAAGGGGTAGTAGGTTTGATGGCTATGTGTGGTTTATGCAATTTTGGGAGGACACTGAGGTTCATATTCAAAAACGTAGAAGTGTAAAAGGTCTTATTTACATTGTTTTTCAAATGTGGGGGGTATATTCAACCAAAGTCTCCTTACATTTAATTATTTCTTTTGTCGTTTTAACAATTTTCTCCAATGGGTTATTTTTGAGTTTTATGTAGTATTTGTTTGCATAAATTTGTATGTTTTTTCAAATACAAACTCTTGTCCATAATGACAACTCCGACTCCTTTACCATGTTAATTTTCTTTTTATACATTTTATGTTTTTCCAGTTATTATTTTTACTATTATTATAGTATCGATTAATTAATTAAAAGCAAGTTTTTTTTTGATTCCTTATTTTGTTAAGTTATAAACGTAAACCTAACTATAAATCCTTTAGAGATGATACGCTCGCCAAAAAAAACTGGCGTAAGAAGTGTGCCGACGGTGTGAGACGGGGTCAGTCCTGCTGCAACAGTAACGTTGATTGTTTTCAAGCAAAGCAGTAAATTGTGTTATGATGTCCTCACACCACACTCCAATCTTCTGGGAGCGCAAAGGCTTTTCATCAAAGACGTGAGGATTTTCGGTTGCCCAAATTCTGGTGTTTTGGCTATTCACGTATCCACTAAGATGACACCATGCCTAGTCAGTGAAGAAAACATGATCAAGTTCTACAATTCCATGGCTGTTGACGAACGTCCGAAACAATCTACAATATTCTAGGCGCTTTTGCTTATCCGGGTCACTGCTGTACACTGCGAATATGATATGCACGAAATTTGTATTTTTTTATCGCTTTCTGAGCACTACTATATGAAATTTGAGTGTGTGTTGAGTCTCCTCAGTGTTAAGTCTCCTCTATCACATTTCGAATTTCATTTAGTTTCTCGTCGCCCGGTTTTCTTCTTGTTAGCAAGCAACTGATTCACATTCACGGAAACGGGCGATTAATCTCGTTATTGTTCAGTTATTAGTTACTCCAACATCTGGATATATCGCACGAAATTCATCTGCAACACGTGCATTTGAATGATTCGAAAAATATCGTTTAAGAATAAAAAGTCGTTGCTCATGGGAAAATGGCTACTTTGCAAATCAGTGAAAACCGCAATACTACCGATGTGAAATGACAAATTTCTGTTTCAATGGCATCTAGATCTATTATCGGCAATACCTGCGATGCTATCACGCGGTAGGCGATAGAAATACTTCATCGAAAGCACTATCAGAGGATCACGTCAGGATTCAAGCCGGCGCACAGTGGGGCAGGATACATAACTCCTGGCCGTTTGAGCCAAATCCTTCAACCGGAAGTGATACTTTACCTACACATATATACAAATGTTTTATGTAAACCTGGACATTATTAATGATAAATGAAAAATATTTTTAATATTTCTCTATAATGATGTCTAACATTTAAATATTAAATTACGATTAAATTGCATAACCGGAAGTTGTACCTACTTTACGTAACCAAACACATACTTATGATTTGTGACGTAATTATTTGTACAGTGTAATTCAAAAGCAGTGGCCAAAACTTTTGTTTTCAAGGTAATGGATATCAAAATAATTTTTTTAAACAAAAATCATATATTTTGCAATTGGGTTTGTTTTTTATGATGTTTTTTTATTGTATATTAAAAAGCATCATAAGCATTTCGATTTTGGTCACTACTACTTTTGAATCATCCTGTATAGGTACTTTTCTGTTTGAAAAATGTTTATTTTAAGAATCAGTTTAGTATTTATTTATTGTTGATTGTTTTCTTCTCCATCATCTTCTTAATTATTTTCGCTATATTCTTCATTATCATCATCATCATCCTTTCATTATCTTCACCATATTCTTCATTATTCTCACCATATTCTTCATTATCCTCACCATATTCAAATTCCATCATCTTTTGTATGAGATACCTGAGGCTCTTCAAACATACATCACTATCACTTCTTTAGAAAAGTTCTTTAATTTTCTCTGATGTATTTTTCTTATTGTGGATAAGAACTGGTCGGAAGATATTAACATATGATTAAGAATATCCCTATTTGTAGCAGTACGACAACATTTTTGAGATAGGTCTCTTCTGATATGTTTAAAGTCTTTATTTCGGTTTTCTTGTGCTTCCTCACTCAATTGTCCAATCGGCAAAATTGCATTTTTTATAATTTCCAGACTATGAACTAATATTTGATGTAGACTAGTGGGCATTGGATACCACGAATACTCTTCTACAAATATTTCAGCAGTTCTTCCCGTATATATTGTAAATTTGTCCTTGTCAATAGCATAATCACTAGCAATAAGCTGTAATATAACATGACAGCGTGTTATTATGTTTAAATTTATGCCAGTTATTTCTGCTGAAATCTCAGCGTTTGCAAAAAACCTCTGGGCCGTATTCCCATCATTTGTACTGCCGAACCCTTGTTTTGGCTTATCGACTAGTTGCATATTAAATTTTTGTTGAATGTCTTTTTTTCTACTATCTACAACTTTTTTTGTTCCTTGGTGCGTGCTTTCCACTTTTTAATAGGTAGCTTATATGTCACATGTAATAATGTTTCGAATAATCTTATCCAGCCATGCAGCACTTAGATTCCAAACTCATGGTATTCTTTATTCGTTTTTGCACCAAATGATTTGTTCAGATTATTAACATCTTTGGATGTTAACCCACATAAATAACACTTTTGAGTTGACTTGGTATTTGTAACAGAGTTACATACCTTGCCATCGATCATTGTAAAGGTTAGGTGGTGATAAACTTCAATTGCAAAATCTCCTACTACAATCTTCGTTGGTTTTATATTCCTTATTAGTTCGTCAAAATATTTTTTTGCGGTTACTACCAAATCGATATTTTCTGGACTAAATATAAATTTTATTGGTCGACACCATCTCGTGGATAGAGATAGATTTTGCCATACAATTACAAAATTTTTGTCTGTAAGATCTCCAATTTTTAATTGTATGGGCACCATTGACGTCAAGAAAATACTTGAATCATTATTTAGTTTTTTTACAACGTTGTTATTGGTTTTTTGTTTGTATTCGCTCTGTCCGCCCGAAACGTCGAAACCCCATTTGGATAATAAAAACATTTTTGTTAAGTTTTTAAGATTTTGTTGATCCAATACTTCTTTTTGAGTTTTTTTTGAACGCTATAAATTCCGAAGACTGCAGAAAACTGTGTCCTCTTTACCAAAAGGAATTTTGGCCCCGATTAAGGCAAAAGGTGGGCCCACTAAGTATTCATTTTTTGTTAACAATAAACATTATAAACTTATACAAGTTGTTTCAATTTATTTTAATTTAATATTTCCAAAGTTAACCTGGGAGCTCAATACTTATGGCCAAGGCTGTAATGCACACTAAGTAGCTCTTGGGTTTTTGGGTACCACATTAGCTATAACATATTCATAATCGTCTATTAATATCAAGAATAAAGTGACATCAATCGAAACACATTTATTGATCCCAAATTTTTAATAAAACGATGATTAAATTGTAACAAAAACAATCGAAAATTCAATAAAACAATGAGAATGATCGACTCGTTTCAAATAGGGTTTAGTCATTTTAAATCCCGCATTTCTAGCCGAGTTACGTGCTGCCTCGAGTGTTGCAGCATTTGGATACTTTTCTCTCGTTAAGATAAACAAGACCCCTCTATCCTCTTGCTCCGGTTGACAAAGATACCATGTCGACCATGTATCATAGTCAGTTCCAATCGCCCAAGAACTTCGCTTTCCGACATCATTTTTCCATTTGCCTTCAAATTCAGAAGTATCATTTATTTGGTGTACTTGATACATTTCCGCTTTTCCAACGGTAGTTGTCCCATTGAAAAGTCTTATCACGGTAAAAGTTGCATTTGATTTCTTTTTATCAGTAAATGCACTATAAGCTAAACATCTTCTTGAGCTTTCATCACCGTCCATGTCTCCAATTTCCTGACCATACCAATTACCCGTTACCTGTTACAAAAAGAAAACACAAGTTAAAAACATTAAAAAAAAGAAACGCAATTTTCATGATTACTTTGTCAACATCAAAATTTTTAAGTAAAGGTACTTTATGGCATCTTTTATCTGCTGCTTCAATGTGATTATAAGCTAGAGTGACAATTACAAGTATTGTCAAAGACACTACAGAGTAGCTTTTGGACATGTTTATGGTTAAGAATGAAAATGAGTTACTAGTTTCGCGAGAACGTAGTCGAAATGTTATACACGTACTTTAGAAGCTAATAATTGGTCGTTAAAACTTTGTTATCAATTTTTCTAACTAAAAAGCTAGGTTAAATAGGATGTTTTTCTATTTTAGACCTAATCAACATACTTTCTTGCGAATATAAAAAATTAACTAATCGGAATAATTGGGAGTATTTAATAAATGTTCTGATGTATTATTCTTGAAATCTGTGGTGTTAATCAAGTGATTTTAATGTAAGTGTAACTGTCTAGCTGAATCTGGGTAAATCTTTTATTATGGAGAACTTTTTTTATATTGTGGAGAACTTCTTAATAGTATATTCAAGCCCAGATTGGTTTATGCTGTATTCAGATAGGTTTCAGACTGACGTTAATTACTAATGGCCACTATATCTAATGATCAAGGCGGAGGGTTTTCATGATGTTTCAACCAATTTTTGAAAAAATGTCGTTGACCAGAAAGCAGAGAAGTGAACACGAAGAGGGAGGTGCAGAGGAAGACAGCTGGAGAAAAGGAGGAAGGTGGTATGAACGTGAAAAGAGAAGGTGGAAATGGAAGCTAAATAGAAACTCAATCAATAGGAGATGTCTCCTCAGTGGCAACAACAGAAGAGAGATAACAAAAATGAATCGCAAGGAGATTGAAAAACAAAGGCACCAAGCGTAGCATGGAGGGGAGAGAGCGGAAATGTTTATCAAAGAAGTTAGGAACGCTATTCACAAATCAGCAAGACGGTATTCCAGTACAATAAGTAAATTCTTATACAATTTCTTCTGGAATATTGTTCTAGAGCATCGCTTTTCTGGTGTATTACATCAAAGTGTTTTTTTATTTCGACTAATTCGTCACGCAAAATCAAGTTGTCACCGCGCAAGGCCTGAACGCCCCAGTGGTTCTATGTTTTTCCTTAAAACATCGTACATAGCGAGTTTTTTGGCTATTTCTTCGAGAAATTTTGGATCTCCCAATAATTCGGAAATATACTCTTTAATGAGCTTCCGTTCACTATTTGAACTTCTAGTCGTTGCTGCCATGGCATATACTAGTAACTGCACAACTCATGATAAAAATTAGTCCTACACATTTATCGTTTATTATATACCTTTTTTTCCTGAAGATGTAGCCCAACGTAACGAATTCCTTTAGATATCAATTTTTAGAGACCAATTATTATTTATAAATAACATATTAAACAAACAAGATCTACATTTGAAAAAATTTAAAAATTACCTTGCGTAGTGTTGCATGCTTAAATTGATGAGTTTGTAATTTGAATTTGTTCTGTATCTAAAAGAAATGATTATAACGTTATGTAAGTAAGCTCTCAAATAAAAATACATATTGCAACAGGTCTGTTAGGGTTTTAAGAGCTGCTCTGCAGTTTAACTTCTGTACATAAGAAGTAAACGAATTAACAGTTAAGATTAAACACGCATCACTAGAAGCGCAACTTCTCTTAAATTTTTCAACTCTTTTCGAAACGAGCCTCTCATAGATTGGATTTTCTTAGAGACAAGCTCTTGATCAGCATTTGGGTCCACCTTGCAATAAAATTGCACTAACTCATCATAACACAATTTTTTTAAGTTTCTATTAACATGGTCCGTCGATTTTACCTTCCATAAAGCCGGATGAGGCCTATAAATCTCTATAAGTTCAGTTAAGAATTCTTTGGCGATATGACGAATATCGTTAAAAATTTTAAAGTACTTATTACTTAGCAAGAAAACCATCAAATTTTAACACAAATCATGTTGTGCCGTGTGGAAGTCTCCACTTCAGCGGATAGCATGCCTGAAATCCCTGAAATCACTTCGTGCAGCGATGCTCACCTACGCACATGATTTTCTATGTTTTAGAGATAACACGATAAACCGCGCGAAATAACGTCTGTGTATGGCCGGCTTATAATTTGTGGTACATTTTTTTCCTTTCCATAATTTCTTAAATAGAAACAATTTTTCACGATACACAACTGACACAACCTACGTATAGGGTATTATACGCAACCTACCTAGTAATCATATATATCTGGCAAATAACTATCTTATCGGCACCGTTGAGTACCCTATAATCTCACCGACAAAAATATCATTACATTTTAATACAATAGAAACTAACTTATCAACCAGATAACGTTGTCGGGAAGTATATCGGTATATTGTACAACCGGTCCTTGGTCAGAAACTGTATGAAAGAGAAACTCTTTTTGTGTTCAAAAATTGGTTGAACATTTATGATGCAAAGCAACACTACACTTTACACATTTCATTGTGGTGTTCTTGTGACACAGTGCACATCGATTCTGTTTATTTTGTTTTTCAATGTAATGATTACTGTCATCTAACCGTACGGATGTGGAGTTAGCTGTATCTTTCAACATAAAATATGTAATTACGATGTACCTTGTAAAAGATGAAAGATCATGGCGATTATTTCTATATTTTGGAGAAATTTTGTATAGCTGAATGGCGGTGTTCATCGAAACATTCACTGGAAACATCAGAAGTTGCCAACTTTTCAGCCCAATCGCAATTCGATAACATTTCATATTTTGATCTAACCGATCCAATCGGTTAAACCCAACCCGTATACTTATTGTAATTGACGATACAACAGGGTTGGTCGACAACTTTTTTTTTGTTTATCTCAGAATCGCATTACTGTACCAATAGGTCTGACACCAGACTCGGTGGATGCAACCGTAAAGGTCTATTCATAGTGGGAGCGCCCAGCGTGGCGTAGAAAGTCTCGTCTCGCTATGGAAACACGACGCAAAACGTTTTGCGTCGTGTCCAGCGTATAGGTATAACAAGTAGAAACAATTCGGACTCCCCTGCGGAGCTACGCCCCTTCAAAAATGGCGAAAAATTTTGGTTTATTTTTTTTTTCCCGAAAACCATTAACACCAAGAAAATGAAATTTGGGAAATATGTTTAGCTTATAATAGGGCATGTTTCGAGCCTATTTGTACTTTCAATCTTCTCTTCTAAGTTACTAAACATAACCACCCCCGTTCAATTTTTGTCTAGATCTTTTTTATGACGATGATAAATACATTGTAAATATTTTATTTAGATAGACGAAAATATTCTAAAACTTTTTTGCCTCTCTGATGTTCTTCGAAAAGTTAATAGTTTCTGAGAAAAAAATTAATTAAGCAAACACTAACTGTTAAGCTGTAGCGTTGTTAATCGAAAGTTGGAATGAATTTTTATTGAAAAAATCTTAGCAGGCTTAGCAATCTTTGTCAGAAATATTTTTGACGTTTAAATGTCAGTGGTTTTCTTACTATTATTATTGTTTTATTTAAAATTTTGAAACGTCGAGTGAACGAGCGTAAATGCGGTAGAACTTTATTCATAAATTAATTTGAAAGTTAAACAGTTAAACATATTCCCCAAATTTCGTTGTCCTAGCGTTTATGGTTTTTGAGAAAAGAAAATTAAACCAAAATTTTCCGCCATTTTTGGAGGGGTGTAACTCCTTAGGGGAGCCCAAGTCGCCCATGGTTTATATATCAAAGTACCCTTAAAATTGCGTAAAGAATCACCCCCTGAAGTTTGGGCATGTCATTCAGATACACCCTGTATATGGTCCACAATATAACTAAATATATGTTTTAATAATATTAATATTTTAATAAAATGATAAAATGAACCGCACACGTGTGTTTATAATAATTTGAATGAATGATAAAATAATAATAATTGATTTTGTTTTGCAACACGATCTTGATTTTCTACATGTCGTGTGCGCAGCATGCTACAGCCACTTCCCCTCCTATAAAGATGAATAAAAAGAGGAATATGGTGTTTTTATTATTACAATAAAAATGTTATAAATTGTAATAGTTTGTTTTATGTGAATTTTGTATTATTTAATTTTATTTATTTTTATTAATGAATTTTTAATTTTTACGATAATATAATGAAAAACTTCTTACTAATTTCTAAGAAGGTAGGAAAATTTGTAGGACGGGCGGGAAATCAGGTGGTGGCAAATCTTATGGTTTGAATTGCTGATTGGTTTGACACTTGAGTTTCAGGACTATTGATTGGCGAGCTTCAATATCGGGATCGTTGATTGGTGAACTTTTAAATTTTTTTCTTTTGGTTTGGGTTGACTTGTGTCCAATTTTAGAATTCTTGACAAACAATTCTCAACTTTGCAGTGTTTCTGTCGGGGTCACCAAATATTGAATTTTAAAAATTATTTTTATTCTACCACATTTTAGGTTGTTAATGGATCATTTATTTTTTTAATCTGTTTTTTGTTTTTTTGTAAATTATATAACAACTCATTTTATTAAAAACAACTTTTCATGGCACACTTTGTGTGGTGCATGGCACACTACATATAAATTAAACTATAGTTTGATTCTATATAAAGTTTTATTAATTAATATTGTTATCAACAAAATAGTCCCTAAACGAAATACGAATTTGTGTAGCTGCTTTGGTTGTTATATTACATATTTCTAACATTTAAATGAAGTTGTACATTGTTTTGTATGTTTGGTTGATGTTTCATAACGTGAAAATAATCTTTATCACCATTTCCATCAAAGTCTCTTATTATGTTATGAAGTATACAAGCGCATTTTATCACGTCAATTGCTGTTTCCCGTTGCAGTAAAATACTGGTATCAAAAAGTTCGGAACTTTTGACATAAAATTCCAAACGCATCTTCAATGCATTTTCGGGCACGTGATAGACGATCGTTATAAATTTGCTTCTCGCTATCTAAAACTCCATTTTTTGGTCGCGGATAGGGTGTCATCAAATATGTTTTTAAAGGATATGCTTCGTCACCTATCAAGACATTGGGTAAAACTATATTGGAATTGGGAAGTGCTTTTTTGGAGGCGTATTAAATCGGTTAGTCTCCAACAAATTATAGAGTGTTGAGGACTGGAATACACCACCATTACTTTCAGACCCTCGTGAGCCTACTTCAATGGTAATAAATTTCTTTTTCGCATCTGCCACGCCCTGCAGACCTATGGAATAATATTTTAGATAATTAAAATATGTTGTTCCAGAATTGGGTGGACATTTTATTTGATAATGTTTTCCGTCTATTGACCCGAAACAATTTGGAAAGTTCTATAGCGTATTGTATTCTCGGATTATCTCTTCCAGTTGTTGTTCATTAGGAACAGGCATATGATCTTCTTGTAGCCTATTCCAAATAATTGGACATGTTTCTTTAATTATTTGCGAGGCTGTCGAGTATCCAATTCTAAATTCATGTGCTACATGCTTATATGTCGTCCCCGTTATTAAAAACCTAAAAATATACGGATGATTATAATAACCATTTTTTCATATTAAAATAAAATATTATTATTATTATTATTACAAATATAAAGCAATATTATGTATTGAATTTTGGACTATAGAGTAAAAAGTGTTTAGTTTTAGAGGAAACAGTAGCAACACGCTGGAAAAATAAAAAAGATAAATACCGTCGTGAATTAAAGAAATTTCCAAAGCCA